ATAATTTTTAATCTAAATAGATTAGAGAAGTCCCAGCCTGTATTAAACCAGGGTCATTTTTTAGACCCCGACCTAGCTACAATAGAAATAGATTAGTTTTTAAGGGTAACAGAAATATGTGTAATTTTTTATATTTAAATTCAGGTAGCACGTATGCTAATTTTGACCAGATTCATTTTTTAGTTTTGAACATGAAACCTGAGATTATTTGTATTTCCGAAACACATCTAACGGAAATTATAGATAGTTCTGAAATATGTATCGACGAATATGAGTGCTTTAGGACTGATAGTTCAAGTAGGCATACAGGGGGCGTGCAGATGTATATCAAAAGGTATATCAAGGTATTGGAAATTAATAGAGTAGTATTGGGTAGGTCATATTGGTTATTAAGTACTAAATTGAATATACATGGAAGAACATTTTTTGTTGCATGCCTGTATCGTTCTCCTAACAGTAGCTGTGCTGAATTCATGACATTTTTTGAGACGTGGTGTAATGATTACGTCTGCGATGTTAATATTCCTTTGTTAATTTTTGGTGATTTTAACATTAATTGGTTGTCTACTGACTTTTATAGTGAAAAATTTAGGGCCTTAGCAAATGATATGGGTTTATTGCAGATTATAAATGAGGTTACTAGACCCACAATAAATGGTGGCACGATAATTGATTTGGTTTTTACTAATCAAATATCTGTGAATTTTAAGGTATTACAAGTCCCAAGAATTAGTGATCATTTTATGATATCTCTAGAAACAAAACTTTTTAGTTTTCCAAAACCAGAACCTATCATTTTAGAAAGCAGAGGAAAAAAGATTAATTTTGAGCTAATAAAAAATAAGTTATCACAGGTTGCATGGGATTTTCATGTAGCAGATATTGATAAAAAATGTGATAACCTTATCCTTACGATAAAAAATGCGTTTAACATTGTAGCTCCATTAAAAACAATTAAAATACAATCTCGTTTTAAACCGTGGTGGAATGAACGAGTTCAAGATGCAATAAGAGCTAGGGATGAGAGTTACAGACAACACAAGCTTATTAAATCTGAGGCGAGTCACGCAATTTACAAAGAGAATAGAAATATGGCAGTTAGGACTATTAGGCAGGAAAAAATCAAATATTTTGAAAATCAGGTGGATCAATGCAAAAATGACCCATCTAGTATGTGGTCTGCATTAGGTCAAATATTACCGCAAAATAAAAAATCCTTGAAAATTTCTGAAGTTCATATTAACGGTGAAGTGGTTAATGATAAGGATATCTTGCCTGATAGGTTAAATAGATTTTATATAAACAGCGTAGAGCAAATTGTTAGTGAAATAGACAACACTGCGGACACTTATATAAATAATAATTATTCTTCAACTATATTGGATAGGTTTGATAACTTTAGATTGATCGATACGGAAGCTTTAAGAAAGGTTGTTTTCTCCTTGGAATCTAAAAGTAGCCCTGATGAAATTAGTGTCGACCTGCTAAAAAACATTTATGATGCCATTGAGGATCCACTCATAAATTTAATAAATTGTTCTTTTGATACCGGCGAATTTCCAAATCGGTTAAAGATGTCCACTATAATACCCGTCCAAAAAAAAGAAAATGTTCTTGATGCTACAAATTTCAGGCCTATAAATACTCTTGCAACAATAGAAAAGGTAATTGAAAAAATTGTTTACATACAGTTGCTAGATTTTGTTGAACATAATAACTTAATAACTAAATTTCAATCAGGGTTTAGAGCGAACCACAGTTGTGAAACTGCGGTTCAGTGTGTTGTGGATGAGTGGAAGAATTGGGCTGATAGTAACTATATGGTAATTGCAGTGTTTTTAGATCTCCAGAGGGCTTTTGAGACGGTAGACCGCAAAATGCTCTTAAATAAACTTGAAGCTGTGGGTGTTGGTGGATGTGTACTAAAATGGTTTAAGAACTATTTGGCAAATCGAGTACAGAATGTTAAAGTGAATGGAAGAGTTTCTGGAAATTTAGAAAATTATCATGGTGTACCTCAGGGTAGCGTACTGGGGCCACTACTTTTTATTTTATATATAAATGACATGGCAGATATTTTAGGAAATGCTAACGTTCACTTATTTGCTGATGACACACTGGTTTATGCAGCCTCTAGGAATTTGACAAGCCTTGTTCAAAACATGAATGCGGCGTTAAATAGAATTTATAAATATACTGTGAAATATCGTTTAAAGTTAAATGCGAATAAGTCAAAATTCATGTTAATAACCAATGACAAAACCAAACTCCATTGTGATGACAATGATCTTTCATTGATGGTTGGATCTGATAAGATTCAAAGAGTACAAAAGTTTAAATATTTGGGGGTGATAGTGGATGATAAACTTTTATTTAGGGAACATTGCAATTATATTGTGTCTAAAATAAGTTTTAGTGTTAACTATCTATGTCGATGTTCCTATTTTCTCTCTTTCTGGTCAAAGTTAGTTGTATATAATACATTAGTTTTGCCACATTTCAACTTCTGTGCAACAATCATGTATTTATTCAAGCAGAATGAGGTGGCTAGACTACAAAAATTGCAGAACCGGGCTATGCGTATGATTCTTTCCTGTAGCAAGTATACACCAATAAACTCAATGTTAAGAGTAATGCAATGGCTACCGGTTGTGGAATTTGTAAGGTATAATGCCTTGGTTTTTATTTTTAAGATAAAGATTGGACGTGCTCCTGAATACCTTATAAACAAAATAGTTTACAACAATGAAGTGCATAACTATAATACCAGAAATAGAAATAATTTTTTCATAACTCCAAAGAGTAAAAAATGTACAATGAATTCAATTTTTCATAAAGGATTTAACGAGTTTAATAACCTACCAGAAGAGATAAAAAACTGCACTTCATTGTTGAGTTTCAAGAAAAAACTAAAAATTTATATGCTAGGTAATTGTGATATACTGGATGGTTGATCTTGTGATAACTTTTAAATTATTGTGTATCGTTTGTGATTATTAAGTTTTGTTAGTTTACCTATTTTATGAATTATTTATTATTTTACATTTTATTTTTTACTTACTTTTCATATACTTATATTGTATATATTTTGTACTATTGTAAACTAGCAATTTTTATGCTAAATAAAGGATTTAATAATAATAAATATTTGTTGCCCTCAAATGCGACGTTGCCAAGTTATTAATATTTTAGAGAAATTTTTACCGAAATCAGTATACCACTTAAATTTTAATATCTACACCACCATTTTTTATTGTTTTGTAAAAATGTATGGAAGTACTTGGCTGGGATCATTTTATCTCGCATTAGTCTAAGATTTGGGTTTTTTTATACAGGGTGGTCAAAATTGCTATTCAAATATTGATATTTACCATTGTGCTTTATGATAATTTTTTAAATGGGATACCCTATATCTAATGATGTTTTCCGTTAAAGTGTTTATTTATCTTCAATTTTATACTAATATGTGTACCTTTATCTCCAACTGTTTTCTCAAAAATTGATATTAAACTAAGAATTGCTCATTTTTTCATTATGACTCATACATGAACATAAATCCATCATGGATTTTTTTACGTAGTAGGTACCTTTAAACTTACTATGCACAGTTCATTTCTGTTTTGTCCTCTTTCCGTTCATAAATAATTAATATACCCAATAATAATAATGATAACATTAATAATTATTAAAAAAATCTCCAATAATCCGGTCAGAATACTACTAAAAATAGTAGTGAAGTTACAAAAAGAGCTTTCGGGGCTTAATCTTTCTTATGTCTTCGGGGTCAATAACGTGTCTGCCGAAGTACACCATTCTGATCCTGGCAATAGCTGGACATTCGGTAAGGACATGGATGGAGGTTTCTTCATCCTTCAGACAGAATCTGCAGTCAGGGTCATCTACGATCCCCATCACGTGCAGATGTCTGTTGAGCTGACAGTGTCCGGTGAGGAGTCCTGTCAGCAATTTGATGTCCTTCCTCCCAAGCTCCATAACCTTGCTCTCGCTTGGCTTCCTGGTTCTCAAAAAATGTAGCCCATATACCCCATTAACATCCCACCTATTAAATTTTTTATTCGCTCAACGACGTAGCCGCAATCGAACACCGGAGTATTAAATGGACACCCCGTGTACAGAACCTGACAGGAAGTTGCAAGACCTGACAGGACATTTCAAACCGGAACCAGGACTTTGAAGGACTTCTTGGCAGGACCTGATAGTATTCCATAATTTTTACATAACTCGACAGGTCGGAGTAAGCAAGACTTTAATTATTTATTTATTTATTTATTTGTTTATTGTCTAACAGGATAAACCCAATAACAAGACAATTATAATAATCTCAAATTAAAGACTAGACAAATGTTATTGTAAACTTAAAACTAGGTTTTGACATATGCTTCATATACAAATACATGAAGTAACTAACTATAGTTTGTAATTAACAATCAAGAGAAAACAGATGTAAATTAAGTATATTAAGCAGCATCAACAGCTTCCCCCAGCAAAACCCCAGGACAAAAAGTTAACCCCAAGCTAATCAGCAATATTCCACAAAAATGCAAGATTCAATAATCAATCAAAACAATCACTTGAATATATGCCTATTAGGCAGGAGTTGTACAAAATGTATGGATCGGCTCACCCCTCACATGCAGTGCAATGGTAACTAAACTATGGTCTATGAAAATAAAAATTAATCAAAAACCTGTCTAGTTTATTTTTAATTTTAGTTTTCAATTCCTAATTACAGAAGAAGGTACTTTATAGAGCAGACATTTGGTTGATAGACATTAAATAAAATAAGGATTTGTGTGGAATGAATAATGAAAACACTCTACTCTCCGAATGAGCTTTCTCCTAGGATGGAGGGGTAAAATACCCTAATCCTAAGTATAGAGGTAGGTACTTTATAGAGCAGACATTTGGTTAATAGTGATTGAATAAAACGATAAATAAAATAAGGATTTGTGTAAAATGAATAATGAAAATACTCTTACTCTCCGAATGAACCTTCTCCTAGGATGGAGGGGTGAAATACCCAATTCTCATCAAACACTGCTCCCTGAAAACTGGCCTCCATTTCGATGGTTAAATAGTGGTTTCTCTCTTCCAATATGGATATCCCATCTGACAGAATCAAATCCTCTAGTCAAAGGGAGATTCGTTTCTGGATCATTCACAGCCAGTTGACCTGCTGCTGCCTGGCTTCTTGAATATTAGGGCACATAACAAACAGGGCACAATTAAACCGAAATAGTCAATTTAGGCGAAATGATGTTTTCAGTTAATCACTAATTTAGAACTATTAAGCGTTCATCAGGCAAATATTCCAATTTCTGTATTGGTCTTGCAAGTCTTTTGTTTTCACGACAGACCCGCAAAAGAAAATCAATTATTACCGGGTCGGGTGGCGGGCTCAACCAGTAGTTCGATTATGGCGCCCCCTGCGTGCGCGAAATTTGAAATTGTGTTGCATGACAAATGACAAGTGACGATTAGTTGACGCGGCTGCCTGTGGCCGTGTACCGTTTCTAATAGCGATTTCCATTTGTCGAACCAATGGAAAAAAAATGTATCCTTATCCTCACATGTTACATGCTTTTAGAAAAAGATGCGGATACACTCAGTGCGCACTGACTGACAAATGGAAATCGCCATAATAGCGCATTCTATTGGAAGGGCTAGTGCGCACTGAGTGTATTTGTGTCTTTTTCTACCAGCTTGTATGTGAAAGAGATAAAAATACATTTTTTTTTGCACTGGTACTACAAATAGAATAAGCAATAACAGGGTAAATTCCAAACTCGCCGAAAACCATTCAGTTCCTGGCGGAATGCCTTTAGTATTGATGAGTTGTATTCCTTTCAAGACTTTGAAACACTCTAGCTACTCGCTTTGGTGTGTAGTCACCCCCGATTTGCAGGGAACAGATGCGTGGTGCAACAAACACTTTTCGAAAGGAATAAGGGCGGGTATTATAAAAATACTTTTAGAGTTAACTTAAAGTTAACTTCTGAAATTACATGTAATTCAAAAAGTTAACTTCAAGTTAACTGTCAAAGCAGTTTTATAATAGTTGTATTCCTTTCAAGAGTTTGAAACACTCGAGCTACTCGCTCCGGTGTTTAGTCGCCCCCGATTTGCATGGAACAGATGAGTGGTGCAACAAACACTTTTCGAAAGGAATAAGCGCGTGAAGCCCCGGACCTGTTCCGGAGCTCCTCCTAGGTGTGAAAGTAATACAACTTATACCCGCCCTAAGCGCGTGAAGCCCAGGAGCTGTTCCGGAGCTCCTCATAGGTGTGAAAAGAATACAACTATTGATGCGCATGATTGGGATCAGGACGGTAATCGGCTAGTTTCGGATATGCCTACAATTCAAGTTTAGGTCGGACTAAATTGTTCGATACACGCACAAGTATCACAGCATATACAAATTTCCGTGCGTTCGTTATTTTGGTCTGAGTTCTCCGAGCTTGACTTTACCGTTCGTTTATTTAAAAAGTGTACTCGGTGCAGCCTCATTCGCGTTCGTTTATTAAAATATCCGGTACTTTTATACAGCGTTCAACTGCTCCGTTCGCTCGCTGGTCACGTGATTACGGCTCCGCTCAGCTCGCTCTACACTTTGAGCAAAATACCGAACGCAAGGAAATTAATACAAAAACAATCGAAGGCTAGCTCGAGTATCCTACAATCCGTGCGTTCGGTATTTTGATCTGAGTTCTCCGAGCTTGAATTTACCGTTCGTTTATTTAAAAGTGTTCTCGGTGCAGGCTCATCCGCGTTCGTTTATTAAAATTTCGGGCACTCGGATACAGCGTTCAACTGCTCTGTTCGCTCGCTGGTCATGTGATTACGGCTCCGCTCACCACGTTCTGCTCTTTGAGCGAAATAACGAACGCAAGCTATGGCGGCGTGCGCAAAAAATATGCGCGTTATATCATCTATGAATGATAACAAAACCCAAAAACAGAATCGAGGAAAGGCAAAAAAGACGAAACAATCCTTGTGTTCAATAGTTGTATTCCTTTCACACCTATGAGTAGCTCCGGAACAGCTCCGGGGCTTCACGCGCTTATTCCTTTCGAAAAGTGTTTGTTGCACCACGCATTTGTTCCCTGCAAATCGGGGGCGACTAAACACCGAAGCGAGTAGCTCGAGTGTTTCAAACTCTTGAAAGGAATACAACTAATCCTAGGCTGTATCCTGGAATAGGGGCGTGCGCAGAAAAGATGCGCGTCAGAGTAGGCTGCTCCCAAGGTTCTAAGGGCGGGTATTATAAAACTTCTTTGAGAGTTAACTTAAAGTTAACTTCTGGAATTACATGTAATTCAAAAAGTTAACTTCAAGTTAACTGTCAAAGCAGTTTTATAATACCCGCCCTAAATCTAATAGGTTGTCTGGAAATGGGTAACTTGAACGTTCACACTTCGACTTTTCGATTTATTTTCGGTTTTCGCACGTCAGCAGTCAGAACGATTTTTGTATCGCATACCTAAGGATACTACACCCTACACAAGATAGCCTATCCAGGGCCTCTTAAGACCTGCGTAGTACAAAACTCAAGCCCCTCACCATGCCAAAGTACCAGTTGTGACGTAGGCAGCGTTTCGTTTCACGCCTTGACGTAAGATTTCTTTTCAGGTGGCTCCGGTTTTACTAACCGGGTTACAAAACGGTTAGAGAAATGACATACCGTTTTCTAACCCGGTTACAAAGTGACGTGTGGATACCTACCACTCCAATTAGAGCGGTATGTTGCGGTTTGTTAAACCGGAGCCACGTGAAAAGGGTTAATAGACACTTTAAGGGTGGGTATTAGTTGTATTACTTTCACACCTAGGAGGAGCTCCGGAACAGCTCCGGTGCTTCACGCGCTTATTCCTTTCGAAAATTGTTTGTTGCACCACGCATATGTTCCCTACAAATCGGGGGCGACTAAGCACCGAAGCGAGTAGCTCGAGTGTTTCAAGCTCTTGAAAGGAATACAACTAATATAAAACTGCTCTGACAGTTAACCTAAAGTTAACTGTCAAAGCAGTTTTATAATACCCGCCCTTAGGAATTACATGTAATTCAAAAAGTTAACTTTAAGTTAACTGTCAAAGCAGTTTTATAATACCCGCCCTTAAAGTGTCTATTGTGTTTGCACCACACGCTATAGTTGCATTCCTTTCACACCTAGGAGGAGCTCCGGAACAGCTCCGGGGCTTAAAGCCCCTATTCCTTTCGAAGAGTGTTTGTTGCACCACGCATTTGTTCCCTGCAAATCGGGGGCGACTGAGCACCGGAGCGAGTAGCTCGAGTGTTTCAAACACTTGAAAGGAATACAACTTATGATGCCGCTGGCTTTTGCTTTATGCAAACATGATTTTAGTACATTAATTAACATTATAAAATAAACCTTTCTCAGATCTCTTGGACGTGCCGTCTCGAAATGTTGGGAACCTATAGAGGACAGAATGCGACAAAGATAATACACACTACTAACGATTGCTTATCGGCCTCGTTCTTGGTAATCGCTGCCACATGAGCCGCTTTCCAGCTTTGTGCTTCAAGCACAGAGCAGCACAGTATGTTCTCTGTTTGAAACGCAAAAGTTAGCAGCTCTCGAAGCGCAGAACGGCTGGAACACGAATACGCGCTTGAAGCATTTGCGCGTGCAAAAGCTCGATTGCGTGCTCAAACGCATCAGCTGGAAAGCGGCTATGGTGTGTCACCATTTTCGACGTCACAACTAAGTCGTCAGCTGTTCGTACTAGCGGTCGTAGTTCGTAGTTTAGAATTTGAATTTATGATGAAAGATATCATTTAATTTTGATTAACATAATGTGCAAACAGAAAGATGAAAACGATATCTGAAAAAGATTTGTTTTAGAATGTTAGTTAATGTAGTAAAACCAAGTATTCATAAAGCAAAACCCCGCGGAATCGTAACCTGTAGTGCAAACAGCCTACGTCAAGGCGAGAAAGTACATGCTGCTACGTCACAACTGGTGATTTGACGGGTGGGGAGCTTTAGATTTGTTCCACACAGGCCTTATGAGGATAGGCTATCCTGTAGTAGTAGTGTGTATTATCCTTGACAACGCGATGCCCGGCCGGCAATTTTTTTGTTGTTGGGTTTTTCTGGTGCTTCGGCTTCCTACTTAGTGCTTACCGCTTGTGTGTGTGTGCTTGTTGCCTCGTGGTTTGTTTTTTAGTGAATACCAAATACTTAAGGTAAGAATTTATGGTAAAAACAAAAAGAAAGCCGCCTGTAAATCTAGAATTGAATAAAATTAGATAAATATTAATTAGGACCACCACGATGACATCAGTTCCTGACTCGATCGACCCCAGGGCTCGGGAGATGATACCAAAATGCAAAATTCTAGTGATAGGGGCTGGCGGAATCGGCTGTGAAGTTTTGAAAAACTTGGCTTTATCTGGATTCAAGGATATCGAAATAGTGAGGAAAACCATAATTTTCATTTTGCACCCGTTCATTAGAATATTTTAAGCCGGCACAGACATGAGGTATTCGATTCGCGAAGTACCAAAAAACAAATAATCGCTATTCCCCAAGTTTTTATTTATTTAGCAATAAAAAATACATACATTATAATAATTAAAATAAATGTTACTCGGCATGTTATATCCAATATACCTAAATATATGTAATTTATTATCCCAAAATTTAACTAAATATAAACAAATTCTCTCTATTGCAAACATTTAGCATACAATGGTGTTTAAAAGTTAATAATTTAACCTATTGAGGTAATAATAATTCCCAGAATATCCAATTATTAGTAGTAACTTTTAAGTGCAATAATTGCAATCATATATCTAATACATATAGTTTCAATTAACCATTTAATAATTTCTTTTTCACTTGAATAATATGATTTAGATCTAATACTCATTGTGAAATCATTATAAATGACAAAACAACACAATCAAGAACACAATAAATATCGTGTGGCTAAAGTGTCTAGATTTTGTTGTAAGACTATGCATTGCATTTCTTGTACTAACATTATGCCCTAGATTATGCTGTATGGCTTCCTTAGACACATAATTCTTTAACATCAATCTACTTAATTATTAAAAGTTGATTTGGACGTCATAAGTTACTCTCCCAATATACTGAGTCCATTATGTTCTGCCTTTAAAAAAAATAAATTCTATAATCAATTTTTGGGCCACTTCCAATTTGATCATGATGGTCACACTAGCACCCATACTATCAGTCCATTCCACAAGAACTTAATAAACCCTTCTAAGTATCTAAATGGTGATATGTTTCTTAGCTCATAGAAATTGAAAATCACTTTCCTAACTTTATCCTAAACTTTATCTGTAACATATTTATTTATTTATTTAATTATTCAGCAATAGTTCACAATGTACACAAATACTAGAGTTTAAAGTGAATATCAATAAATAAAGGAAACCGTTGTTGCAGTGAAACCTCCCTATCTTGCTACCACTGCTAAATGAGATTTGAACTACTCCTCCCAAAATTTTTATCAATTATGATTCCTAAATGTTTTAAGTTGCATTTTCTTTCATAGACTGATCAAAGGGGAACAATTGCCAAACTCACATTGTGGATCATGTATTCCAAGGCTTCGAAAGTCGGGAAGTGTACAATATACTGAAACTTGGTTTTCTTTTTGTCAAATATAAGCTTACTAAATTCTTTGAAATGCCAACACCAACACTGTCCAGGCCTTTAATTGGGTGTGCCACACTATCAAATGCCTTCTGCAAGTCAAGGAATAACCCAATGACTTTTTTCCCTGGTAATAACTTTTCCTTATTTTTTCAGTCATTCTCCATAAAGCATTTTCTGTACTAGTGCCTTCCCTAAAAGCAAAATGATTGTTGTTGAAATTTTACCAACCTAATTTCAAAACATTTGGTTGATGATGGTTCATTTTGTGGTTTATTTATCAAATTTCTGTCACCTTGCTTGAAAAAAGGCAAAATAATTGTTGCCTTCAAGCATGCAGAAAAGACATTAATGATATAGCTCAGTGGCCCCATCAATATCATTTTAAATTTCTTCACAAAGTTAGAGCAGATCTGATTCTCCCTCCCCCTCAGATCATCCTTAAGTTTATTCATTTCTTTTAAAACTTTCCTTTGTGAAACAGGATCTAAAAGAAAAGAGTTGGTCAATCTTCCCCCACCAATTGCCATATCTGTGTTATGTGAGGAATAAAATTTTGTGATCTTATCTGCCAGTTGTTTACCAATTTATTTCTTATCTCTATGAGTTGCTATTTTGAAGGAGTTGCTCGGGGAATAGTGAATAATCGCGTTTTGTAGGATACCGCATGTCTGTGCCTGGCTTTTTTTATCTTCATTGTACTTCCTATAATCTGCCACCTTGGGAAGCTGTCAGTAACTGCCCCTATCTGCAAACCTTACTAATCTTCAAAGATCTAGTAGGCTGCAACACACTTTTTAGGTAGGTGCTCGCTATTACAGCTATATTTACTTCACAAGACCAACTATTATTACCTTCTAGGCACTGCGAGATATTTTCTGGTATTACCCGTATTACTGAGTAGCAGGGTTGGCATGATTTAAATCAAATGATTTAAATCCTGATTTAAATCATGATTTAAATCAAGTGATTTTTTTGAAAAAAATCGATGATTTAAATCGATTTTTAGAAATTGGAAATATATTTGTTTATTTTGGTATATATACATGGGATAACCAAAGAGGATTTAGTAATTATTAAAAACTTTCTAACTGCAATACCATCCTCGGCTGGGGTAGAGAGAATATTTTCAACATATAAGTAATATTTGCCATAATAATTTGAGAAATCGACTTGGCAATGAAAAGGCCGCAAAGCTGGTATTTTTAATGAAATCATCAAATATTAAAAAATCAGAACAATTTTTTTATAAGTAGTATTATTTTCATTTTTTACAAAATAATTATTTACTTTATTTTGACTTATTTTTTTTTCTCCTTGCTACGTTTAAGGGGCAGAGTAATAGGTAGGTACAGGGTGTTTCCTTATATTTTAACCCCTACCTACAGCTTTAGCTATACGAGGTAGAAAAAAATTTTAAATATGAAAGTTGTAGGGTTTTATGTCTATTATCTTTCATGAATGTCAAAACGGGCAAATGACAGGTGCTAACTGTCACAATGACAAACACTTGCATTTTTCAAACGGAAAACTCTGTATATTTTTGGTTAGAATGATAGCTTTTTTTCTTCTGATTCCAAATATACCATATTTGTTGATATTTGGTTCAGTTGTTTATGCGCTATTTAATTTTAAAATTGCATTGAGCAAGCCTCATCATGCATGAGAAACCTGGACAGATTAAATTAAGGGTAATGTAAATGCACTTTTAAACTTGAATAACGTGAAAACAGCTGAACCAAATATCAACATATATGGTAGAGGTATATTTGAAATGAGAAGAAAAAAAACTATCATTCTAGCCAAAAATATACAGGGTGTTCCATTTGAAAAATGCAAGTGTTTGTCATTGTGACAGTTGGCACCTGTCATTTGCCCGTTTTGACATTCGCAAAAGATAATAGACATAAAACCCTATAACTTTCATATTTAAAGTTTTTTTCCACCTCGAATAGCTAAAGCTGTAGGTAGGGGTCAAAATCCAAGGAAACACCCTGTACCTTATCTACACCTACCTATCGATTATTTTATTTATGTTTTTAGGAATTACCGTTTATTCACTGTTTTGTTTGTTAAAACTTTATTTATCTAATGAACATTAATAAATTTGTATTTTTAACTTCCTTGTATTAATATTTACTGCATCATTCATTGTTGAAACTAAATTACCAATAATTGATCAAAGATTAATAAAGCCATTTAATTCAAAAAAATCCGATTTAAATCAAAAAAATCTGATTTAAATAAAAAAAATCTGATTTTTTTGATTTTTTTAAAAAAATCATGATTTTTTCCAACCCTGCTGAGTAGTTCTAGAAACACCTTAGGATGATTAGCCCAATAGTTCGGAACCAATAGTTATTTTTGTATTGACATTTTGGGTTTTTCATTCAATCAATCAATCATTTATTTATGTCATCACAAAGCGATTTACACATGTTAAATCAAAATATAAATCTAATACATAGGTACTTAAATACATTTATGCACGAGCGGGCGGTAAGTACTACTTACCGCCCGCGTTTGCGGGCGGTAAGTTGAACTTACCGCCCGCTATTTTCGTGTCATCAAACACTCTCGAATATTGGTGGAGGCCACTAGTTCAATTTAATCTGTGTTGTCAACTATGGAAATAGAAATAAAACAAGAATTATAATTTATTATGCACCTCAACAACTATAGTACATAGGTTTAATATTAATAGAATTTAAATATTATTATTTTTTGTTAACATACAAATTAAATATACAGTTATGTGAATTATCTATCACAACACCTCCTTTTCTTATGTGCTTATCAAGAACAACCGTATTTTCTGTATCATTTATCAGAGAAACAGGATGAGGTTCATCGTTTAGTTGTCTGGATGTTGTTTGGATCGAAGTCTTACCACTTGTTGAAGGAGTTTGGTGTAAAATTTGGTCTGCGAATTTCAATTTGCTCTCTATGGAGTCCTCGATATAACCCTCGGCAACCGTCGAGGATTTCCAACCTCCATGTCTTTTGAGAGCTAATACTTCTACGCCGCTATTTGCAAGAAGCGTCGCAGAAGTTCTGCGAAAAGCATGTCCAGTGTATTGAGAAGGATTTTGCAAATTTAAAAATGTGGCAATTTGTGCTGGCCATTTTCCTATGGTATTCTTTCCTACAACTTGATTAGTGCAAAAGCCGTTTCGAATTTTTAAGAATAACTTGTTTGATTTTGCGGTTTTTTGTCGTAGTTCGATATATTTCCTACAAATCTCCAAATAATCCACTCGCTGGTCTTTTTTACCAGTGATGGTGAAACTCCTTTGAATATTGGTTTTTGTATTGGGTATTTTAACAAAAATGAACGTTTCCTGATTATCTATGTCTTGTAAAGTCAAATTACATAATTCCTCCCTTCTGCATGCTCCAGCTACACCAAATATCATGCCGATCTACGAAAAAACAACAAATTAATTCTTTGCATTGTTAAAAACACAGGTAAATTAACTCACTTTCAAAATCAAGTATCTATCATCTGGTGCCTCCATTAGAAACCTGTATAAATCCTCCTTTGTGAAAACTTTAGATTTTTTCGGTGTATGGCCAACGTTTTTTCTTTTCAGAAAGGCAATTAAAGTTGCGTATTTCGAAATGTCAACATTTTCCTTCAGAAAAAGTGTCGCCTTCAGCATGGAATACTCAGCCCATAAGCTTCCAGGTGATTTTAACTTCTGATTTCGGTGTACAAAGTATGCCAAAAGCACTTTCTCCGAAACAGCCCAGTTTTTGTCAACGCACCACTTCTTAAAGATTTCAAAGGT